GGTCTGGCCGAATCAAGGGATTAACTTTTTTCCCTAATTCGAACCAGCCTTTCTCTCTTTTCTCTCTTCTCTCTTTTCTTCTTTCCTCTCCTACTTCTTGYTGTCTACTTTACTCTACAGTCAACGAACAAGACAGAATTCTATGGCAGGTCAAACTTCAACACTAACTATGAACCATTCAACGAGGCAACTTTCTGATTATGAGATTTCCTAGGTTTTGAACATAACATACATAAAAGGTTGAGTCCCCATTCTATCGATATCTGCTAGAACTTGTAGTCAGAGTTGAACCAAGAGTTCAAAGTGAGATTTCCAGAGTAGAAGGCAGTTTTGTCTTTTGTTAATAGCATTATATTTTCCACTGTTAAGAATCACTTAACAAGGGCACTTCTGTAATTTTACACATTCTAAATAGTGGAACAACAGTTCAAGTCATCAGAAGAGAAGATTCTGCTTGAATCTTCTTCCTGTAGATCTCTTTCCTCTCTCACTTCTTTTCCTCTGTACTTTCTACTGTAGAAGACCTCTCTCTCTACCTTTTTCCCTTCTTTTCTTTTCTTACCTTTTTCTCAGCTTGTAACATGGTATCAGAGCAGTGAACTCGACTGTCAATGTTCATACCTCTTTTTTCCACCCTAGGATTTGAGAACTCTTTCTCTTCAAGACACGGAGCTAAAGGTCCTTAAAAGGACTGGTCGCCCTTTAAGAAAAGAAACTTTAATGCCTTAAGTTGGTCAGTTTAAGGTGTTGGTGATGGTGTACTAAGCCCTACTTGCCACAGCCTTAGACGTGAGTACAGGTACGTGTGCTGAGTGCGGCTATTTTTTGACAGTTTGTGGTGTTTAGTTTGGTGTGTTGTGGTGTAAGAACTTACTATGGTGTGTAGAGCCTTTTGGTACACTACAAGTATTAGCCTTTTGTTGGTTTGGGGCTGAAAACCACTGTAGGAATAACAGTTGTAATTTTACACATTCTAAATAGTGGAATAACTGTTCAGGTCGATAGGAGAGAAGGGTTCTGTTCAAATCTTCTTTAGACCTCTTTTCTCTCTTTCTTTCCTCCTTACTTTATACTGTAAAAGACCTCTCTCCTCTCTACCTTTTTCCCTTCTTTTCCTTTTCTTTTCTAACCTTTTTCTCAAGTTGTAACAAGATGCAGGTTCTCAAATGTTGTAATGAAAACTTTCACCACAACAAAAGGGGTAGTAGCAATTTTAATGATCCATGAACACTCGTTTGTGAGTCATCTTTTTAGCTTCATGATTTCTTTTCTTTTCTTTTCTTTCTTTTTTTTTTTTTTGCAAGATTGAATTCCAGGATTTTATGAAGAGAAAAATGAAGAGTTGAGAGAGGATTCCATTTTCTTCCATAATTCACAAAGAATTCTCTACCAAGACCAAACACCAAGAAAGCATAAATTTGTGGCATGAACCAAAAGTATTCCAACAATAAACGAAGGCATGCATTTAGGGTGGAGGTACCTAAAAACAGCATGTGTGCTGCATGCATAAACTTCCCTGGCACCCTCTTGGTGTAAAAGCTCAGCACCTTTTGCAATAGTCCCTGGCATCATTCAAGTAAATAAACAATAATTACATAAAGATTTACCAGAAAACAACTAAACCAACAACAGCAAAACAGTTAGTAAAAAATTCAGAATAAATTGCCAGCATTAATCCTGCAAAAGATGTCCTGGGACATAGACGCACAACAACTCCTATAGGCCATAACACAACAACTAGCTTGAGGCAGAGAAAACCAATGACCGGCATATTAAAGCCATTTATACATAAACAGATAATTTGTAATTGAAGGATATTTTCTAATACAAAAGGATTATAAAGGCTCAGTTTGGAAAGAGTGCAAATACAAATATGTACAATACAAAGCCTTATATTTTGTATTTCTAAACATGTATTTGCATTGTACATATTTGTATTTGCACTCCTTCCAAACTGAACTAAAAGAAATCTAAGTTGCAAGATGTGAAGCAGCATGAACAGAAAAATCTGTTCCTAATAAGCAAAGATCAATACCATTTCAAGTTGACAAAGAAATAAAAAATGGATATAATGATGATTTATGAAACATCAAATATATCTCTGTATCAAGCAATGCAAGGAGCATTGTTTGATATACTAGGAAAATCCTTTTTTACATTCAGGTAATCAGTCTATGCTTCGTCTTAGAGGTAACTCACCAGCAGTGTCAATCATGTCATCAACCATAACAGCTACTTTTCCTTTAACATCACCTATAAGATTCATCACCTGGAAAACAATATTCACAACATATATTTAAGAAGTTAACATGTCAATACAGGTTCTTTGATATCCTTAGAAAGTTAGAATTTAAAATATCTTTAAAAGAGTTAAATAAACAGAACCTTTAGACTTTAAAACAAATAATGGATTGTGGCATTGTGTTAGAAGAAATTGCCCTAACAGTAAGAAAGTTTTCTATTTTATCTGTATATGTACATAGATTTAGGCATCACAGGAATTCCGCTAGAGGGCATGCAAGCACGACCATGGTATGTCCACATCACAGTGCAACAACTCTACAATTGCAATAGACACCTACATCCGCGATATAAAATAATGAATCGTCGTAGTAACGCAAAGTACATTAGCTCTAACTTAAGAACCTCGTTATCACAGTCTTGTCTTGCGATCTGATACATCATCGCAATGATCTCCTAAGCTATGATGACATTCTGCCTTGGTGTGTTATTGATTTATAGCAACATCGCAACAACACAACAGTGCAATTCATCCAAACTCGATTTGCAATGACAAACCAACACTTGGACACTTCCGGAAAACTTCTAAGGTACACTTAGACAGGCTTTTAGAAGGGGGCAGTAGTTATACTTGTGCTCATGTGTAGATCCCGAAGAGAAGGGTGGGAACCTAGACCCTGGGATCTCCGCATGGACATGTGGCGAAACCCCACTTGTGCTTGCCTATTTCAGATCTAATAGAATAACAAACTTTCCCGCTTAGGGAGGAAAATTTCTACATGAATTAACTCTATAAATAGAAGAGGCTCGAAGCTCTCCTCACCTCAATCTTTCAGAACTCTTGCATGCCCACCCTCACACTCGAGCTTTGGAAAGACAAAGTAGCTAACTTGAATATAATTTTTGTAGCACCTAAGAAGAAAACATGCAAGAGACTAAGATCCGCATACCAATGTTGTAAAACACAGGTGTAATTTAGATCCCAAGAGGCATAAGCCTCTCAAGCAAAAGGGGGCATAAATCTCCTTAAGAGGGGGATGAGGAGGAAGAAGAAGAGGAAGGAGGATCTTCTTCTTTTGTGTGTTTCTTTTTTATGAAAGATATCTTTATTAAGAAAAAAGAAGATGCATAAAACTAGTTGAGGCAGAGCCCTCAGCCAAAACTTTCTTTCCCTTCCCTTTTCTTTCCTTTCTTTTTTTTTTTTGATCAATATTCCCTTTTCTTTCTTTTTCTTTCCCTTCCTTTCTTATCTCCTTTTTTTTCTGTCTTTTTCTTCTTTTTGTCTTTTTTGTAGGAGGCATAAATGAGGTGTATGCCTCAGAGGCATCAACGCCCCTGGCATATACACCTCAAGGCATTTTGGAGGCACCTTACTGGAGGCACGCTTCCAAACATAAACCTCTTATGCCTTTTAAAACATTGATGTAAACCACACTCCTTGTGATGGTTTGATTAATACTTGGGGTCAAAAATAAACCAAACACATTCACATCTCTTTACACGTTTTTTGAAACTCAAGATGGAGAAACTAGCTTGAGTTTGCAAAGTAGAATGGTAAAGTAGAAATCACGAAGATGATTGGGGGAAGCCACGAGATTGGAGAGGATCAGAAATTGGAGTTGACAATAGGCAAGCCAACTAACTTTGATATATCTTATATACTAATCTTGGGCATTTGAGATCAAAGTGTATTCAAATGCTGATTGAACAAGTGCAAAAGCAGAATACATTACAGTATGCTTTAAACCAGGGAAACGTGACCCCAGACATTCCACTACTTAGAGGCACATGAAGCATACACCTCTAGCATGACTCATGCAAAAGGCGTTTGAGATGCACCCCTCAGAGGTTTCAACGTATTTAGCATGTGACTCAAGGCATTTTGAGGGTGCCTTGCTTGGAAGTTCCAAGCGTACGCCTCCCACAGCTATTAAAAATTTGCTGCATATGTCATTGATAATATCATTCAGTGCAGCCCATAAAATATATACAAAAGAACTCTATAGTATCACTCAATTTTTTAAAAGCAGCTAGAACCAGATGGAAAGAATCATAGATTTAGGATTGGAAATCAGACACTTTTCCTGACTGCTTTGGAAACTGAACCGGGTTGACAGAAAAGAACAAGATTTGCCTCACCATATGGTTCAAAGTCTTCTCTATTATTTTTATTTTTTGATACACAAGTCTTTTATATTATGCATCAATGACAAAAAAAAACTGTAAAAAAATCACCATCAATAATATTGACTCCCTTATCAAGGTTGTTAACAGTACTAACTATAATATGCATCAACAACCTCATTTGTCATGTAGGGCAGACCCATTACAAACACATACCAAACATATAATATCTTTTGCTTTTGCATCTATTATGGTCCCTGATACCCAGATATATGTGCATGCCTAGAGTGCTGTCAAACATGATATGTACCCAATATGACACCAGATTCTGCATGCACATTCATGAATACAGTATATAGTATCAACACTTCTAAAATATGTCAAAGGGTATGTTTGACCTTTCATACCATAAAAGACCTGTGTTAGAAACATAATTAATCTGGCAAGACATAAGTCTTAAGATATGTCATGAAGCTTCAAAAGCTAGAAATAGAAGCATAATCAATCATATGGAATATTCATACCCATATCCATGTTCAGGATTTTTAGGAAATGAAGAGTTGTATCCCTGTCTCCCATATCCATGCTCATTAGTACCCAATGTCCAAAATCTAAGTCAGCATCCAGTTTACCCTTCCCATGGCCCTAGGTCCCTAGCTAGCTGGGACCATCATCAGGTAATGACCCTTTTATAACATCAACTACTTAATCCTGAAATTACCAAGGATATATGATATATCAAAAACTCCATGGAATAGCAATAATCATCATATATTGGTTTACAATGACCATGTTGCACACAATAAAGAGAAAATAGCAGCCTATAGATTTAGAAGAGAACGTCATTGATCTTGAGGACTTCCTAGAAACTTGTATAACCATGTCATAGACTCGTAGATAGAAGAGATCAATCAAGAGAAATGATGGAAGAGAAGCTCCTCATATGGGTGAACTACATTTATCATCAGACCCAAGAAAGCATAGAAAAACCCAATTGATGATCTGGAAATTTGGACTGCAAAGGCCTATTGATGAGGTAGAGTCAAGGTTCAAAGTATTGATACACCCCAATACACCAAAAGGGGTGTATTGATACTTTGAAACCTTGCGCTTCTTTTTTTTTCTAAATTTCACAGGGGGGCATTTTTATGTTATTTAATTTAAAGAAAAAGGTATTTAAAAATACATTAAAACAGGCATATTGTTGAGCAAAAGATACGATATGATACCCCCAATACAGGGGCATATCGTATCAAAACTTTGAACCTTGGGTAGGCTCCATGTGAAATCCACTGTATGTTCCAATTTGACAATTACAAAAGACATGGATTGGTGCAAGTTCACATGAAGGTTGGAGGTAAGATTATATCTACCACTAATATACTTTAAGTTGGTGTTACCTCAGCAACATTGTGCCCATGACGTCTTTTATCCACAATGGCTAATGGAGCATCAGACAGTTTCTTGGCAAAAGCACGTGCCCTAGCAACACCTCCAACATCTGGTGAAACCACCACCAAATCACCAGAACTTACAGTCTTGCTGGCTAGGTAATCAAGAATTACAGGCTGAAGATACACAGAACAAAAAATAGCAATTATTAGTCAAAAAGTCAACATAAACAGAAATACTTGGATTAAATAAGTAGAGAAAATTAAATCCTGGAAAATTAAATCAATCACCTGACCATGTACATGATCCACTGGAATATCAAAGTAACCCATGGACTGGCCTGAATGAAGATCACATGCAAGAACACGGTTTGCACCTGCTTGAGTAATCAGATTTGCAACAAGTTTTGCTGCAATAGACTCACGTCCTTGTGTCTGAAAATAGAAAATCATATGATAGTGATAGACTTCAGTGTTATTACCAAAAAGCTTTCATCAACTTATTAAATTGTGAAACTAATGAAGCAACACTAACCAGTGATAAGAAGTTAATATATACAGGCTAAGATAACAATTAGTATCAAAAAATATGCCAGTCATTCTGTACTTATAAGTAGTAAATGCTCAAATCTTAAACATAATGAGATCTCCAAGGTAAGACATCAATGTCAGAGGATGGCCAATGACCAATTAGTTGCACTTACTACAGGAGAAAATTGCATAGATTGAATAGAAGAGCTGTTTATAAGATCAGTTTGGTTATCTAGCCTTAGAGATCAAGGTACAGGACATCAAAAGTTAAGTCCTGATACCATGCATGTGCATTTCCATTCCTGTTGTACAGTATATCTATATATGATACTCAAACTATGATCACCATGGACCAAATTTATTTTAGTTCAACCCAAGAAACAGGAACTACCTTTCTATCAGCCCTAGCATATCCAAAATATGGAATAACTGCAGTAATATTTTTGGCAGATGCCCTCCGACAAGCATCTATCATTATTAGAAGTTCCATGAGATTTTCATTCGCTGGAGGGCTTGTGGGTTGCACTAGGTATACATCACACCCTCTAACACTCTCTTTCAATTGAACATAGATCTCGCCATCAGCAAACCGTTTTATGTTGATCTTTCCAAGCTCCAGGCCCATGTAGCAAGCAATTTCCTAGGAGGGTACATCAATGCATCAGGATAAGTTCATATATGACCTTCTAAGCATCTTCAGATAACAATGTTTATATAACATCACAGAAAGAAGGCATAACAGTTCAACCATTACTGAATAATGAAATAACAATATCAACATTTCCTAATAAATGTATTTCTTCAGACAAAATGAAAAAAAAAATATATATATATATATATAGCAAGGATTTGCAAACTAATTGTACCATTAATACAAGAGTCATCCATATCAACTCCTAGAGAATCTAAAGTTCCACCTATAAACCAAAAATGGGTTATGACCTATTATGAAATGTCTTGGATGAGTTCTTGTTAATGATAAAATATGTATTAGATGGTGGTTGTGTTTGACTACCCTCTTCCCAACAAAAGTTATTCCACAGAAAGAAATATTTCTTACATGGGGGACATGTATATGTCTAATGGAACTTGGATACATCTATTTTCAGGATCTTCCACGAAGAAGATAGAGATTTCTAATTAACCCTACCCAACTACCATTTTACAATCCATAAGGGTTTCCTTAATTAAGAACCAAAAATGACCAAAGAAGTTGAAATTAGGAATCTAGTGATTACAGAAAAATCTTGTATTTTTATCATTCAAGAGCATAAACTCAAGAAGATCGAATGAGAAGTTAAAAAAGGCATCCACAGCACAACCACAATTGAGGATACACCTTGAGCAACAAATTATATGAAAGAAAACCTATCCATTCATAAGGTTAGTGATAGAGCAGGTTGATTGTGGCACAGAAACTGCCTAAAAAATGACTAGGCCACTGATATGCCAAAAGTTTGGCATAATTAAGAATTTAAGATTAGTTCCTTCAACACTCTAAGTGAAGAAGGCCAAAAAAGGATCCTCATCACAAGGATGATTACCAATTTCTTTTTTTTCTCTTTTTTTTTTTGTGCTACAATTTGGGAATAGATAGCACTAAAACATCCAAGGGGTAGTGCAGCCCCATAGGTCCTCTATCCAGATTCTTTCTTGAGTTGAACGAATGCTTGAGGGTCCATCACAATGTGCCCTTGATTGGCCAGGAAATCTGCTAGTTGGTTTGCTTCTCTAGATACATGCTTGATCTTAAAGTTCATTCCACTTCTTTCCATTGTCCTTTTAAGCCTTATATAATGGTCATCATGTTCCATGGAGGCTTCACTTTCCCATTAATGCTTCCTGTAATTTGCTTTGAGTTCCCTTCTAGAATTGTGCAGTTGACATTGAGTCTTACTGCCTCTTCAATTGTTTCTTTTGCCACCCATGCTTCTGCAACTGGAATTGCACTGGCTTCTATTTCCTTGAAGTTGTTGGAGATGATGTTGCCCCAGTAGTCTCTCACCACCCAAGCTATTGCTGCAGCTCCATCTCCTCAAACTGAGGCATCAAAATTTATTTTAATCTGGTTCATCCGCATGGCTTCCATCTGATGACTTTTTTTTAGTATATATGGCATTCCCTTGGTAGTCTCTCAGGTCAACAGTTGCCTTTTCAAATTTCAATGTCTCACAGGGTCATACGAAATGCCATTAAAGATGCATGCATTCCTTTGTTTCCACATATACCATATAATGCGGCCCATTTTCTACCTTAATTCTTTTTCCTATTGAGTTTTTTAGTCTAACTATCCAAGTTCAATGCTATTATGTTTAGGCCCGATTGAATATTGGTCCACCAATTGCCATAAATAAATGAATATCAGATTCCTTACAATTGTTGCATACTGGGCAAGTTGGGTCCACATTCCAAACCAAAGAAGTGTAGACCATGCATTTCTCTATAGGCTGAAAGCACAAAAACTGTCTGTTCAAAGTGAATGGCTACATTTGTGCTAAAATCCCAGAGGTTAGGTACATATCCAGTCCAGCCCTCCCATGACTAATGGTCAGGCCAGCATTGGGCAATGGCACTTTTTGGTCTGATTAAAAATATTTGTTAATATCCATCTCTAAGAACAAGTCCTCGTAGCAATTTTCAGAAGCTTGTATATATTTTTAGCTGATTAGCAAGGTGGGGGAAAGAGATCCTCAAACCCAATAGTCCAATTGGTCTTCAAGGAGACTACAGAAGCAGTCAGCTCAAGGAGAATCGATATTTTAAATAGATCATAATCTTATGCTTTTCATTTCTGGCTTCCAAGTGTTCCACTAAATATGCGGACAAAACCGAGGTTTCAAGGTAGCCAGTTAAGTTCTCCAGAACTCAATTACCTTTCTTTCTGGATTTTGATGATCAAGTTAATCCTTTAACTAAAAGCGAAGGTATGATAGAATTCATTTTAGATGGTAATCACCCATACTCAATGGTGTTAATACCAAAAATATAAATAAAAATACTCTCTGAACCAAAAAAAAAAAAAAACTATGTGCAAATGATAAGAAGTAGGTTAAATTTTAAATTTTGAGAATTAACATACTTCTCTATTTTTACAGGGATATCTGTATTATGAAAAAAAAAAAAAAAATCTGAGAAAACTTGCCTGAGAAAGAGTAGGATTTGCAGTGCCTGAGAAAATGCGCAGCCTGGTATCATTTTTGTTCTTGAAATTCTCTGGGTACTTTGAAGTCAATAAACTGGGAATGGTTTGCTCATTAAACACTGGAATGCTTGGTTTTCCATTGTTAATCTTTAATGGCTCCACCAGATTGCACCTCTTAACAAAGAACACCAAAATAAATCAGAACATATTTTTCTTTGGAGGGGGGGGGGGATATGTAAAGGAACTGCTCCAAAAATGAGTTTCAAATTAATAAGAAACCATTCAACCTCTTTAGTTTGGATATTCCGAATGGGTAAAGAAAAAACACTGGAACTCACATGGCGAGCCAAACATCAACCTCTGTTTGGATATTCATCAAACAGAGACATAAAATCTTACAGTAAGCATGCTACAGCTTGAGACCAAAAATACATGAAACCTAGATAAATGAGAAGCCGCAAAAAGTCCTCCATGTTCCCTAAGCTCTAGATAATCGAAACTCACGCAAATACTTGAGAATTCGAAATCGCTCTTCTAAGTAAATTAACCTGTTTCTAAATGAACAGGAACAGGGAGAAGGATAAATACTAACCACGCCGTTTCGAGAAGAAAGCCGAAAACGAGGCTCGTTGGAAATAAAAATTCCACGGCACAGAGAGGAAGAAGAAACCATAGCCGAAGAAGAAGATGCAGGAGAGAAAATCAGGGAAGCCATTTTCCCCAAGGAGAGAATATATTGAGGTATAAATTAGGTTTAGGACGTAATGGTTTGTTCTATCGTCTTCAGCGGCGCTTCAAGCTTCCATGGCTGTGTTTCCAGTAAAGAGAAAAGGCGAAGAGAAGATGCCCGGGGCGAGAGGGGAGCACCTCCGTCGATTTATATCCACCATGTCCAAAATTAAGAAAAAATAAATTCGAGAAAAAAAAACCGAAAAAAAAAGCGATTCAGGTTAGAAAAGACCAAAATCTACAATTTATTTCTGTTGGTGGCTTGGTGCATGGATCAAGGCTAGTGGATGGCAGCAACAGTTTGCAAACTTTCCAAATACAGGAAAAGTAACTGAAACTCTGGAAGGCAGCAAGCCAACGAAAGTGGACTGAACCGAACAGGTTTCAAATAGAACCAGTTCAAAAATGTGTCTGGTCGGTTCAACTGGAACTTGAATGACGCAAAACGGCAAAAGCTTTAGGAGGCGCTTTTCAATTTTCGCTTATAAAACGGATAAATTTCTTAAACTATCCTTACTGTTTGAAAATTGATTAATGTTATTCTTACTGTTTCTAACACCTACCAGAAACTTTTCCTACCGTTGACATTCCGTTTAAATTGTATACATGTGACATCACATTACCATTATATTTTTTGAAAATCCCTAATATACCCTTTTGGCCTTTTATGATTGAAAATCCCTAAACCCTTCGAATCCGCATAACCACTCTACTTGATGACCATAGTACTACAGAGGTTTTTCCAACTAAGCCCAGTTTCGGACCTCATCACCGATTGAACCCAAGATGAGGTAGGCGAAGCGAGGTAGGGGAGGGAGGGTTTGGCGGCGGCAATTACTGTGTTGTAGTACCTCATCACTGACTGCTGTGTTCAAACCATAGTATCTCATCACCTACTGAACCAGAGATGTAGCGGTGAGGCGAGGTGGGGAGCTTGCAATCGAACAAATCGAACAAGGATTTCTCTCATCTTCACTTTCTCTGTAATTGAACAAATTGGACAGGTATTTCTCTTTCTTCTTCGCCTTCTTTACAATCGAACAAAACCAAACCAACTCTGCTGGGCTCTATCTTTCTGTCTCCCCATATTCGTCTTCTCTACAATCAAACAAACCGAACAGGGCTCTCTCTCCTCTACTTCATATTCTATGCAATTAAACCCATGTCCCTTGTCCTAAAGTGAACCCTCTTCTTCATCTTCTTTGCAATCAAACCCTTGTCCTAAAGCGAACCCCTATGGGGAACTAATGAAGCGAACTCAATTATTCATCGTCTTCTTTGCAAACAAACCTGATGAAGGGTGATTTGGCATGACCTCGTAGCCCGAAGATACGTGTATATGACCTGGCCCAGTGAACAACTCAGCCTGACAACACGTTGATACGGGGGAGACACGCCGAGTCCAACGCTGGCCACTAGGCGAGTTAAGCAACTCGCCGGGGACTGACGCCTAGCCAATTTTGACTCCCACCAAGTATGGAAGGTCCCGAGCTCCCCCTAAGGGGCCCGGAGCTCTCCCTTCCCAAAGAGGAAGCACCCGTCCTCCCTCCCCCCAGTGTAGGCACCTCGGCACAGGGACAAACCTACCCCAGACAATCCAGTGCGCGGTAGCTCGGTAGGCTGTGGGGAGCCTTGTCTGGCATCCGTACCCACCGGACCCGGTGGCAGGGCTCTGATCCCTCGCCAAGCAGCGTTCTATTTGCCTCCTCTAGAAAGCATGACACGTCTTTCAAGCCCGTACCTGGCAGTGGCAGTTTGTGGCGGCAACCTGCGCCTGCCACACCTGCCCTGGCAGTAACGGCAAGGGCGATGGCGATTATGCTAGGTATGACTAGGCTCCAGCATAAAAGAACTCTAAACCACACGAAGAAGAGGTATTGAAGCTTAAGCACTTTGAGCACTCTTACTCTCTACTCTCTTTGAGATTTTCTCCAGTTCTAACTTAGCCGTCGAAGTGTTCCCACCGGGACAACTCCCCGGGAACCCTTCACTTTCTCCTTCCTCTCAGGTGCCATTCGTTCCAGTCAGAAGCCAGGTCACAGCCAGCTAGGAGTGCCCAGATCGTGCAGCATCAAAACCCTTTCTTCGTCTTCGTTTTCTTGGTCACCACTGCTGCAACTCCTAGTACTGGTGACTTCTCGAATCCAAGACCCTGGCCACAGAGTGACGACGTCTCTCTCTCTCTCCCTTCCTCCCTCCCTCCTCTTGCGTCCTTCCCATTGTTGAAGACACCAAACGATTACAAGTTCTCCTGTCAGGGTTAGAGCAAGAGGGGTCGAGCAACTTCCAGGGGCAGTGCGATTTTGTCAATGGTTCTCCTTTCTTGGACACAAGTGGCTGAGACTAATTCCGATAAAGCTTAGGACACCCTAGAAGAAGAACGGAGCTTCGAACTCCGGCAAAGCATCAAAAACCTAGAAGAAGAACGGAGGAGCTTCGAATTTGATTTAAGGGCAAAATGGACATTTCAACCCTTAGTCAATTTTCAAAGAGTAAGGGTACACTTAGTCAATTAACTAAATTATAAGGGTAGTCAATTAGTTAAACCATACAATATATATATATATA